TACTATTTCTCCACTCATTCTTAAAGACTCCCTGGTCACACAAAGATAAGGCTTCTCATTGCTAAAATGAAAACAGAAAAATCCTTCTCTGGAAATCCCAACAAAAACAACCAAACAAAAACTCCACTAAGAAACCACACATTTCAGCCCTTTTAGAAAGCAACAAACTGTAGCAAGGGCTCACAGATTTCCCCCTGTCAGCACACCTTTTCCTGATATCCATCTTGCCATGAAAATGTCTTAGGCCTGGTTAACACTGGGGATTTGGAAGCCTGGTCACACATGTTAACAGATGTTTCCCTACTTTCCCCAGAGAGTGGGTGCCACTTGCACATCTATAATCCTCTATCCGCTGATCCCTGTAACAAGATGCCACAAGGATTTAATCTCACAGCTTCCAGGGGAGCTGCACCACATGGAGACTTATTCCAGGAAACCCAAGATCATTGTCATTCCAGGGAAAAAGCCAGTGCTGGGATGACAATTACAGGCATTGCTCAGTTAAACCAGAATTACAGTCTGCTGCTGCTTAAAGGGGAATGTGTCAGAGAGCCAGGAGGCAGTTTGCCTTATCCCTGCTCTGTTGGGTGTTAGGATTCCTAGGAACTGCCAACAGATGTTTGGCCAGGCGTGTGTCTCTCAACAACTCACTCGTCTGTAGCCCTTTGAGGTGGTTCATGCTTTACAGAAGAGCACCAGGACCAGCAGGTCCAGCCCACAGTGCAGGACTGGGAGAGTTCATAACCTCTCCAGACGCACCTGCCAGGGTGAGGTGCTTCACCATGGGATGGACAGGTAGGTGACACAGCAGCTCTGTGACCTTCAGGTTCATGGGATCCCGGCTGCACAGTCCAGAGGGATGTCTGTGTGATGAAGGGTGTGTAGACATCCTGGAGTTGCTTTCCCAGAGGCAACCACCACGATGTGTTAGTGCAGCATCCTGCAAGAGCTCAAGTGGATTCTCTGCTTCTTATAGCTGTGCAGGCCTATGACATGGGTAAGTAGGCACTGATGGATGAGAAATACTATCACAGCACAGATATTTCTCCTTTGAGCTGATCTGACGTATTTTCCTGCAATGACAAAATAAGTGCTATGTCTGACAATGGTTCAGCTGGACCAGGAAATAGTGCATATAGGGGTTAAATCCAATTCTCTTTATGTCACATCCAGGTCACTTGCAATTCTGGATGGAATCCAGCTACTTGGCAGTCACTTTAACATCATCAATAAGCCTCTAATGCCATATGAGGCTGCAAGATTAGCCGTTACCACCCTGATGAGTTTATTTCATGCAGCTAAGACGAAGAAAACCAGTTTAAGGACATCATCTGCAAATTACTCAAAAAAAAAAAAAAAAGAAAGAAAGACTTGAAGTATTTGTTAGCTTCCTTCAGGTTGCACTTCAGTGGGCCAGCCAGGACAGCCTGCATGAATAGGCACAAAGCAGTGGGAGGCAAAGTCATAATCGGCTTTTGTGTTCTTTGATTATTGTTATCCAAACTAAACAAAGATTTGTGGTTTACTGCTGTCCTTCCTTTTCCTGTTTTTTTTTTTCAGATTAACTGCTACACTGCAATGTTGTGTGTATTAGCAATATTGTAGAACCTGTTCACGAGATAATCTCTGCACCCCAGCTTAATGACTGCACCAACCTCGTTTAAAAGGAATCTGCTGCTTATCATAGACTTCAATTACAAGCCCTTTTCAGCAGTAGCACTAGCTTTTAATGTCTGTAAAAAGCCATAAATGCTTTAGAGGGTTATAGGAATTACAGGCTAATGTAACATACTAACTAGGAATGTGCAAAGCCTTGTCCAAGTATATCTGAAGCTCCTGCTTGCTCTACATCGCTGGTCTTTAATTAGCAATAGGACATCTCTGCAGCCCTCAGACCACTCGTGATAGATGAGGCATTGCAGTTTTACTGCACTGTTGGTTGAGGTTATCTATCGATGGTCACCGGAAGAATGATTAAATCTTGCAATTACTCTGTGCTCTCTTGTCTGACATCCAAGCTCAAACACTCTCTGATGCAGGCCTGGTCGCTCCTTGAATTTATATCCCTGCCTGAGTTTTTGGTTTTGAGATGTGAGAGGTGTGCTCACGGAGCACTGATCCCTTACCAGTTCCACTTTATTTCCTTCCTTACTTGACTCTGGTCTTTGTCCAGAAGGTGTATTACTTCTGCAGCAAATCCTTGGGAAGGTAGTTTGCCTCATTTTGTACACATTTCATTTCTCTCACAGAAACACTTATTTCATCCTGCAAATCCAGCTTGCCTAAATCCGACGACTGAGCCAGCTTCAACTCTTCTCCTTATTTCTTCTCTGCACAATTTCTTGCAAATTTTGCCCTATTCTGAGAGCTAAAAATACATCTGGGTGCTGCCTGGAGGCCATCTGAGAGCACAAAGGAAGGGGCATCTTGAACTCCATATGAATTGCTAAGCAGCGCATGAAGAGCCTTCCCCACAAATGGGGATACTCCTGTAACAGGCATCCATAAATACAGATATCTGCCATTCCCAGAAGCAATTGCACACAGAAACATGCTCACTCCTCCTATTTAGCCAGTACTGGACTCTTCTACAGAAAGTGCAATTGCTCATGAGAGCTCCAACTTATAATGACACCGAACAGGTGTAAGCAGGAAGAAAGCTCAGCAAGGAGAAAAGCTACACCAACTCCCACCTCTGCAATCCACCTTCTCCTCCAGGTGCGTGTTGGTGCCAGGAATGAAACACAAGATTTCATTGGAAGTGAAACCAAATACTTTCTACATTTTTCCCTGACTGAATTTCCTCTTGGCTTCTCAAAGTCGTGTTCTTCTACCAAAGCTCTCGGGAACTCTGGCTTTCACAGCCACCACTGCTTAAGGGGGAGATGAAACCAAGATGTAGCTTCCTTGTTATCCAAGTGGGACCCTTTGTCCTATATACATGGAAAGCATGTCTTACAAGGTAAAATCTAATCCACACAAATTAGTTTAGATGCCCAAAAGACGACTATTCAGATAAAATATTTATTGTAGACGGGCTGGTAAACTCCCCTTGCTCTCATTTATTTCTGCTGTGTTCAGTACAAACCACATGATGTCATTGAAGAACAGAGTTGCGAAATCCCACATTCCAGACCAGGACCCAGGAATGATTCCCAAATTAGGCAAATGACATGTGAAATATCAGTAAAGCATCTGAGGAAAAAAAAATAAACCCACAAAACACCAAACCAAACCAAACCACAACGAAAAACCTTGAAGCCACTTGAAACAAATTATGCTTTCCAAAACTGTCATGTTAATGGCTCTTCACCTCCAACACCTTCACTCAAATTGTGGGAGGTGGTTCTTGTTTGAGAAGTCCTTTACATATCTTCCCTCATCCTATGGGGAAGCACTGCTCTGCCAGAGGGATCTGACAGAGGCCGGGCAGCAGCTGGCAAACAGCTCAGAACAGGCAGGGCCAGCATCGGGGTCAGTGTTTACAAATAACTCATGTGAGCAGCCTCACACCAGTGTTTGGGAAATAGCCCACATCGCCAGTCTGACCTCCTGCCCAGATGGATTTTTTTTTTTTTTACATTTTTATTTTTTCTGAAAAACTAAAGTGAAGCCCCATGTTGGAAACTGGGAAACTGCACAAAAGCCAGTAATGAAATAAAGCCGGAACAATGCCCAATTCAGGCAGTCTAAGGGGGCCTTCTGCACAGTGTCCATGTCAAAATTTCCTAATCCCAAAGAGCTTCCTGCAAAACACACAGGATGCCTTTATTACCAAGTGGGTGGCGTTTGATACAGCATCCCAATTGGCTCAGAAGGCCGATGAACCACACACTATTTCCCTGCTACCTCTCTGGTGGGACACTGCCAGCAGGAATACATCTCTGTCATATTTTGCACGGCTTAGTCACGCATTCCTATATACTATACTCTGCCATGCCAACCCTTATGTATGGAGTTTAATTGGAAGGAAATCAGCTTTTTCATCTTTCCCCTTCTTTGTTTCACTTCATTTCAGTGCCAACGTGCCCCTCTCTCCACACACAATTATTTAGCAGATCATGCTAATACTGAACATAGAAAGCAAAAGTAAGTTGTATCTTGGCAGTATCATGGCCCAGGAATTGGACTTCAGTGATCCTTGTGGGTCCCTCCCAGCTCAGGATGTTCTATGATTCCATAGTTTATTCTCCCTGTCAGGGTTGGCTGATGGCACCACTCATATGCTTGGTGCACCTGGGATGGTTTGCAGACCTGTGGCTGTGATTTCCATGCATCTCACAATTTTAAAGATGTGAAATATCAGTAAACAAATTAACCTGTAAGCAGAGTCTTGGTGACCAGCGGAAAGGCAAAAGGACATAAATCTGATGTAGGAGTTGTTGATGTAGCAGCTGGGCCATGCTGACCCAGCAGCTCAGGAGGTTTGTGCCCTGTTTGATGGCAGTGTGACCCCTGTCATCATTTTGCAGCTGGGCAGATGTGTGTTGCAATTAAGAGTGGCCACAGAATCACAGCAACACAGAATATCCTGAGTTGGAAGGGACCCACAAGGATCAGCGAAATCCAGCTCCTGGCCCTGCACAGCACAACCCCAACAATCCTACCATGTGTCTGAAAGCATTGTCCAGAGGCTCCCTGAGCTCTGTCAGCCTTGGGGCTGTGACCACTGCCCCGGGGAGCCTATTCCAGTGCCCGACCACCCTCTGGGGGAAGAACCTTTTCCTAATATCCAACCCAACCCTCCCCTGACACAACTCCAGCCGTTCCCTCGGGTCCTGTCACTGAGAGAAGTCACGGAGTCACAGAAAGGAGAGATGGTGCTGCCTCTCGTGAGGAAGCTGCAGACCCCGATGAGGCTTCCCCTAGGCCTCCTCTTCTCCAAGCTGAGCAACAAAATTTCCTCAGCCGGTCCTCATACGGCCCCTCAGACCCTTCACCATCCTCGCAGCCCCCTCTGGACTCTCTCTAATAAGAGATGGTCGTGATGGCCGAGGCAGCGACGGGGCGCTCGGAACCCGCTGGGGCTGCGGAGGAGTCCGCGGGGCCGGAGGAACCCGCTGGGGCTGCGGGAGGCTCCGGGGGCGGACGCTCCGGCCGCCCCAGCTCGCCCCGGCTCTCCCCGGCTCGGGGCCCCGGCGGCGGGAGGCGGCGCCTCTCGGGGGGCGGGGGCCGGGCCGGCCGGCGCTGCCTTCCGGGGCTCGGCGGGGCCGGAGAAGCCGGAGCAGCCGGAGCCGGAGCGGGCAGGATGCGCCCCGCCGCCGCCGCCGCCCCGCTGCCGCTGCTGGCGGCCTCGCTGCTGCTGCCGCTGCTCCTCCCCGCCGCGCCCGCCGCCCGCGGCAGCTTGGAGCCCCCGGCCGGGAACGGCAGCCGCCCGCCCGCCGCGCCGGCCCCGGGCAACCACAGCGGGGCCCGGCTCAGCCCCGTGCCCGCGATGCTCCGGGACCTCTCCGCGCTCAAAGCCGCCGTCATCGGGGCCTGCGCGCTCACGGCCGCGCTCATCGCCTGCCTCCTGCTCCGCGTCTTCAGGTACCGGGGCCGCCCGGGGCTGCGGGGGCACGGCCCCGACACACGGCGGGGCGGGGGGGGGGACGGCTCTGGGGCTCCGGGGCTCCGGGAGAAGGGGTGAAACCCCTCCCGCTTTATTTTATTATTTTATTTTTATCTATCTATATATATATGAAAATCATATATATAATTATGTGTTATATAATAGTAAGCATTAACCTGCCTGTGATAATAGTTTTAAAGCCCGGCCTCGAGCACAGCGTGTGTGGGTGGCTCAGGAGCCCCTGGGGAAGCCTCAGGGGGCTGCCGGGGCCTGGCAAACCTTGCTCCGCCTTCCTCCCGCTCCTGCAGGAAATTAGGGCAGGAGTTGGGTTCCAAGTGGGCTTTTCCAGCGTGGGATTCACTCACTGCATGGTGGCCAGGGGCGTGGAGTGGGCGTGGAAGATATCACATCGAACTCCATGGGAACATCTGGAAATCCGTGGGGTCAGTGGGTCGCTGGGATTGAGGCCCAAGGAGCCTTGGGGTGTCCGTCCATGGAGACACACAAAGCCCAGCTGGAGATCGAGGTCCAGATGGCAAACTGTCTCAGCTCAGCGTCCGAGTGGTGGGCAGGGACACCCGGGAAGAGCCGGGAGAGGGGAACAGCTGGCACTCAGCACAGGGTGGAGGCCAGGCCACGTCTCAGGTGACAGGCGCAGTTGAACAAGTGGAGTTGGCAAATTCTTCCTTGTTCTGTCTTCAGGCAGCTCCTTTGTATTTACAGGATGGCTGAATGCTCTGCTTCTCCTGCTTCGGAATTAATTCTGTGTAGGAAGGGCAGCATTCATAACAGTAGTGTTACAAAGTGGGATCTATAAACTGAAATGATCAGAACTGATATTTTCCAAGGAAATTGACATTTAACTAAATTCTACTTAAGCGTTGCAGCAGCTGGCAGAAGGCAATGCAAATAAATGTGCTCATTAAAGTGAGGTGGTTTGGGAGAGCCCAATAAAGTATTGAAGAGATTTTTTTTTTTTAATCAGTATATCCACTTTGCAGCTGTATAAAATTGTCATGGACAAACAGCAGAATTGATAGTGGGTATATGAGCTAGAATTAGGAAGTCTATAACTAAGAGTAGATCGAAAAGCCTAAGTTTCTACTCCTAGTTCTATCTGATCTTGGAGACTTTATTTCCTCTGCCACAGTTTCTCCTGGGTATAAAGCAAGATCTTGTGTCAAGGAGACCTGGCATAAGGCAGAATGTTTCTAGCCAAAGAAGGCAAACTGAAGGCCTTCCCTATACCATAATCAGCAAAACCAGGTCCAGGTTAAAGTCACCTTGGGAATGGTGGATTAGTTCTCCCATGCCAAAGTTGTCATTATATAACTGATCAGAGTAAATGCAGCATTAAGGATACATTAAAATAAACACACATACCTGCCCCCCCCAACCCTAGATCTCTTGTAAATCTTTGGTAGAACCTGATAGGAAAAGTGGAAGGTGAAGCTTTTTGGCTACTGAATATGTTTCCTTATTTTGTAAACAGTTATCCCAGTTGCAAATGAGACCAGAATACCAACAGGTATGTCTGTACAGTGTCACACTTGTAGCTGACAACATAGATCACAGGAGATTCTGGTGCAGAAGAGATAAGGGATTTACCCTCAATAAATGTAAAGCTTTTCTCCATCAGAATAAGAGCTTTGTTCACACTTAGTCAAAAACATTGTGATTTTTTTTCTGAAGTGTCATGGATTCCCATTAAAGAGATTTTGCTGAAATCCAATCTTTGATTAAACCTTCACTATGAAATTGTTCTGGGTTGCTTGGAGTAAATTATCCTTTTAGATATGGGCTGTAGAAATGAAATTAACTAGTGAGTGGCCAGATACTCTTGTCACAGGCATTGGATTAATTTTTTTATACATTTTATTTTTTATATACATTTAATTTTTACATATTTTTCTGTTTATATTATTTTTCTTTTTTGTTTGAGCAGGGATAGATATATTTCTCCGATTTTCAGCTCTGTTCTTAAGACAACACTCAGAGATTCCTCTTCATTTCTTTTGGAAATGTTATGCTCTGAATTCATCTGATGGTCCTGTGGTTCAGAATGTGGTGTCACCCAAAGGGGTCTGTGAAGGCCAGCCAAGACTTTGCTGTTTGTCTGCATGTGGCAAGGCCTAAATTGCTGTAGTATTTATTTATTTATTCTTTTTTGCAAGCTCAGTTCTGGGTTTGCTTTCTTTCCTATACCCGTGGGCTCTGCATGCTCCCAACCCAAAACCATTTCCACAACAAACCAAATTTCATGTTATTCTCAATCAAATAGTTGAGTAGTTTGCATTACCAAGAAACACAGTGTCTTGCAACAGATGATGGGTGGCTAAATTTGCTCTTTGAGCTGCATTTTGGGTTTTGCCTTTTTTAGACCCATATTCTGCCCCATTTCTCTCTCCTGGTGCAGCTCAGTTCATTCCATTGCAATACAATTCTTGGGATCAGCTCACAGGAAACAGAATTTTTCAGATGTGGTTAAGTGTGCTGGTAGGCCATGTGCCTTCTAGGGAAACTGGGTAAGTTACTTCTGCTCCAGTGGACCAGCTGAAACCAACCCAAAGCTTTCATTGCAGAAAACTCTGTGCTGTAAGAGTTTGCTTCATGTCTTGACCTGCCCTTGAACGAGCAGAACCCAGGCTAGAAAGGCTGCTATTTATCTAGATTTTTAGAAAGAAACTACCTTTTTATTTTGATCTCATTGCTTTGTTTCATTGCTTCATGTTCAATTTGTGTTTCTTCCTCAAATACCATTTTTAGCTTAGTTTTCTGCAAAACTGGTATAAATGACTGACATTGAGGAGAGAGGTTCAAGCATATGATCATAGGATACGTGACCCTTTGTTCTATGAGCTGGGCAATTGCTCCGGGCAATCCAAGTCTTAACCCCAGAGAGTTTGAGTGATGTAAAATTAATTGTATTATAACCAGTTAGAGTACTCCAGCAAAGACAAGATTTCTGCCAGGAGCAGGGGAAAAACCCTCAGATTAAATTATATTAAATGGAAAAGAAAGAAACCCAAAACAACCAAATATCCAGCCCCAAAACACATTTTTGACCCACATTGAAAACTTCATTTAAGCTGCCAGTGCAGGTAGTAGTTACGGCCACAAAGAATGACAAAAGGGAAAACTGGATTGTCTTGATGTGAGTGTGACAGCAGATTAGCACAAGGAGGGGAGAGGGGATTGCTGTCTTGTACTGTCTTGGGCTCTTTACAGCTTTGATGTGAACAGTCTCAACAGGATGAATGTTGTTTCTTCTTGTGGGGTTCACTGCCTTGAAGAGTTTGGGCAGATCACAAAAGTTTCTATAGCTCTGCCCTATAAAACAAGGATATTTCTCAAAACTCTGCCCTATAAAATGAGGGTACTTCTCAAGCACTTCTCAGACAATATTGGTGTGACTGTGCTGTAGTGTTTGGAAGTAGGTGCTGGCACTGGTACTGACCACCGTGTGTGAGTGGGTGTATGTTAAATACTTACAGACATCGCTGCCTCGTTCAACCACAGCAATGTTCCATTTAGGTGTTCCTGAAGTTATTCCCAGTACTAGTCTCTGATCCATCTCTGATCTGCCTCCTATTAGTGGCACAGTTAAGCAAGGGGGCACTTCTGCTCTTTGTGCCTGCATATATTCCATCTTAAGAATTTGATTGTTAGAAAACACGGCAGTTTCTACGGCAAGGCATATCTACTAAAATCATGGTATGGTTTGGGTTGGAAGGGACCTTAAAGATCATCTCATTCCAACCCTCTGGCATAGGGACGGACACCTTCCACGAGAACAGGTTGCTCAGTGCACCATCCTTGAACACTTCCAGGGATGGGGCATCCACATTTTCTCTTGGCAGCCTCACTGTGCCAGTGCCTCACCACCCTCACAGTAAAGAATTTTTCCCTAATATCTAATTTAAACCTGCTCTCTTTCAGTTTATGGTCATTCCCCCTTTTGCTATCTCTACGTACCCTATCTCCAGAAAACATGTTGGGACTTGGCATCGTGGTCTGACTTTGCTGTGTACAGCACCATCCAGAGAGCAGAGATACTCAGACAGATCAACAGTAGTGAAATATCGCTGATCTAATTCATCAGTTAGTAGTACGTCTGCAGTTTCCTGAGGTTTATATTTCCTTTTTTTTTTTTAACTGCTAAGAGAGTCCATTAACAGCAAATAAACTGGTCCTAATTCCATTCCTGGTCTAACATTGCTGCAGTTCTAGGAGGAACTGGCTTAATCAGACTTCCAGTAAGCACCCTGCTAAGAAGGGATGGGTTTTTTTTAGTTTTCTTTTTATTCCAGGGAAAGGTCCCCTCCCACTGCATCTCTTAGCAGGAAGTGTTAATACAAGTTAAGAAATGCAGAGACCTCTCTCTCTAGGTCAGGAAAAGCATTATCTTTGAATGTCAGTGTTGTTGACTAAAATAGATTAGAGGCGTAAATAATATAATGAACTAGTGAGTTGACTGGAGCAGTTACCCACCACATGATGCCTCAGAAAGGAGGATGAAGTGCTGCATATGACTGGGGCTTGATCAAAATAGCCCCAGGGCAAAATACAGACACAAAGTCAGTGTTCTGCTCCAGCCCAGCCCTGTGTGTTGTCCCTCCCTGCACTCTACGTGGTGATGGACCAGGTAGATCCTGGTGTGGTGCCTCAGGAATCCAAGCCCAGCGTCTCCCAAGCGTTGTGCTCACCACGGCTGCCTTCTGTCAACACCAGTGAGTTGGTTTGATGGGAGCAGCACTGGGTCTGCAGTGAAAGGTTGATATCCCTGGCCACAGTTAACTTGTTTTTTTTTTGTTCTTCCTCATGGTAATTCGGGACAAGACCCGTAGCATCCCCTCCTAATTACAGGGAGTGGCTGAAGTCAGCAAAAGCAACAGGATTTTTTAAACTGGAAGATGATTTTCTGCACTGAACTACCCAGCACCACTCCTGTCCTGGCTACACCGCTTGGGGAGTGTTTCAGGTTGTCATTGTGCAAGGGTCACACTCTGACCATGCAGCTTCCAGCATGCTTCTTGTTTGCTTCAAAAAAGCCCCCATAAAATGAACCTGGCTGAAAAGGAGATCCTCTGTTTGCCCATGAGGCCTGATGTGTCCTGATCCTATCCAGGAGGTCTCCAAAGTTCATGAAACATTTGTATTCTGTAGTTCCTGCCTTGTGCTGCTCCGCTGACTCTGCTGCCTGATCCAACCTGCTGGATAAAGGGCTTTTCCTTTTTGGCTGATGGTAACAGGGATCCCACTGAGGTTTCAGGAGTTTTAATGTGAAATAGTTTCCTGAGGGGCAGCCTTGTTTTGTGTGCATGTAGGCATACTCCCAAGGCTTTCCTGCAAAGTTAGCTTGGGTAATTCTTCTAATATTTATGAAGCCTGGGGGAGTTGCTCAAATGAGCAAATGTGAGAAAACACGCAATGGGAAAGTAGATTAATGGCAAATTAGCTAGGAAATCTGGTATGGAATGAATTGAGAAAGGGGTGACGAGGAAAGACCTTTTTGCCTTATCAGTGGCAGACAACTGATTGTAGCAGCTTAGCCAAAAACCAGCAGCAAAACAAGCTTTCTGCCTTTCCTAAATGAGCACTGTGGTTAAGTGAGGGTTGCAGGGATTAATAGATTGGTGTGCAGTGAGTTCTGCTCCCAGTCCTCTTGAAAGTGTAGCCCAGATAGACTAATTAATGGCTGGAAGCAAAAGGGTTCTAGTTTCCTATTTCTAAAAATATCTGTTCTGCAGTAATTTCTTCAAACACTCCATTATTAACTATTCTGAGATGAACTCTGTGGAATAAGTTATGTTTTTTAATGGAGGGAATGAGGGAGGATGGCTCTCAGTAAAGTGGGCCTGATGTGCAGGTAGGACCTTAAATGGAACCTGTGGAAACCCCCTGCAAACTGCAGGTGAAGTCAGAGTGGTAAGGCTGTGCTTGGTTAGTTCTGACAGGTAGACACAGGTTAGTTTTGTCTCTGTTTGGGCTTCACAGCGTGAGTAAATATTTCTTATAAAAACAAAGCAGTTCTTGCTGGATGAGACCTCCCTGCTTCACTTTAGTGCTAGGTTTTAACAGAGAAACAGAATAACAGAGAAGTGGTTTCAAAAGGATTTTCAAGTGTTTGGGTTAAGAGCCGTACTGCACTGGATATAAAATTGCTTGTTTCAACAACAGCAGGAAAAGAACAAACCACCCTGTGCTCTGCGTGACACAGCGGCACAGATTGCTCTAAAGATTAGGCAGGAGACGACTTTCTCCTCACTTCTGATGCAACCTTAGCCTTCAGAACAGGGAGGAAATGCAAACTGCTCCATCCCAAGGGCTGGGACCTGTTTATTCAGCCTTGGACTATTGCCTAAAAGCAGTGCTAGGCGGAGGCACTGAAATTTCCACATCGGAGCAGGTCACTGAATTAAATTTCCTCAACTTTAAGCCTGGAAGGGACCATAGTGGTGGAGATGCACACAGAGGGCTGGAGTCCCAGGCTTTCTGCAATGCTCACACCTCGGTTCCTGCTGCTGTGTAACTTTTTTAAAGGCATCTTGAGGCAAAAACAGTGCTGTTGAATCCAGCACACCTTGCATGACATGCCAGGGCAAGACTTCTTGCTGGTGAAAGTGCACTCGTGATGTGCTGACTGCTTGAAGCACTAGCTGTGATTACCAAAAATTAGGGGTTGCTTGCTTGTGCCTGCACCAGCTCCCTTCTCATGCTTGGCGGGTACCAGTTTTGTTTTATAAAAGGCAAAGGGAAAAATTCTGCAGTTTGTTAACTGAAGCCATCCGCTCTTTTCCCCAAAGGCTGGCCATACATATCAACACCTTCTTGAATGTGTAATCACAAAACTAAATTCATGCATGAGCAGTGTGACCTTCCTAATATTCATGAAAACAGTAGGTGAAATAAAAAAGAACCTGCAGAATTCAAGCTAGAGGCAGAGAATTACTTGAAAAGCCACACACCAATTGTTTGTTAATTGAAAGTCTTAGAAAGTAGATCTCTCGAAACTGTGGGATGTGCAGGTGCGTGAGCATCTCCATTTCAAAAGGAAAGTAAGCCTGGCATCTGTTGGAGGAGAGGTGGTAGATGCTGTTAGCTTTGAATGATATTGATTATTTTTTATAGCACCTGCACAGCATGGAGCTTGAAACTGCTCAGATCAGACTCAAGGTTGTTGCTGGGGGAATCCTGAGCTTGGCCTAATAGCAAGAAATACAGCAGGCTGTTTGTACCCAGACATCACCACCCCTTTGCTTCTAATCCTGCCTAGAACATTCCTGTGGCTCAGCAGGGCTTAACCTGGCCTTTCTCATCCAAACACATTCACTAAACCATGGGCTGCTTCAGCTGATTAAGCTCATGTCTCACTTATTGAGTGTGGCAGCAGGAGGACGTGGTGGGCTGCCCTGGGTGCCAGAGGATTCTGGTTTGTCAGCAGCTGGAAGACTTGACGTTGATCTGGATTGCAGTTGACGAGAAACTGTGCTCCACAGACGGGCACAAACGGTGGCCTTGGAAAAGCAGCAGGAGGGGATGGAGGCTGGTTCTGCTGACTTGGTGTCTGAGGAGTCTGAACCAAACAGGGCTGTGATTCAGAGTTGGTGGGAACAGCTTCAGCCTCTCCAAGGAATACTGTATAAAGACGATCCTTCCCTTCCTACCTCTGTGTTTCAGGTCTGGCAAGAGGATTAAGAAGACCAGGAAGTATGACATAATCACCACTCCAGCCGAGAGGGTAGAAATGGCTCCTCTGAATGAAGAAGATGATGAGGACGAAGACTCAACAGTGTTTGATGTGAAATACAGGTACTGCTGCCAGCCTGTCTGGTTAGGCTTGCTCCTTGAGCTCTTATTAGTGAAGACAAGCTCTTTTATTTCTCTGCTGAGCCAACTTGGCAGAGGTGAGGCAGTTGCAGTCTCCCTTCTACTCTGCCCAAGAATTATCCCTATCCTTTACAGCCCCCTCGTCCTGTTCCCAGCACACGTGGCTCTGTACCCTCCTGTTCCTGCAATAACCACATTGCTGCCCTCAGGCTGTCTTCAGAGCAGCTCAATGCCCCAAATAGCTGACAGAGTTTAACAGACTGAACTTCCCCTCTTGAGCAGCTGTTGGCAGTCATTCCTGTGCACTTGCACTGGATCCAGGGCTGCTTTTCCAGGTGCTGCTGTGAGCCTGGAAAGGAAATAATTATGAATCTCCACCAACCTCTGGGTTTGTACCATGTTCTCATGTTGGTCTGTGACACAGAGAGGACTATAGTCCCTTGCTGATGCTGTTAGCAGTTATCCCTTAGCAACAAACTTTCCTTAAATATGTTTGTGACATGGGAGTGGTGTGACAACCCAAAACTTTTGGTGCCTATTCTGGGCTGAGATTTATAGCAACCACTCAGCACATAAAGATGCTGTGCATTGATTTATGGCACCAGGGTATCTGCATCTCTTATTTTTATTTGCATCAAGCCATCCACACCATTCGAGTTGCATTCTCATCCAAATAAGGCCTACTCTAAAATCTGTCCCACTTAGGCTGAAATAAGCTCTCCTAATTATAAAAATGCAGATCTTGACAACTTCTAAGTGGAGATTTTACAGACCTTAGTCATATTGCCCATCTCTTAGCTTTGGAAAGAGGGAACTGGTGGCAGGAACACCACATCTGCTCTAGGCACATTTGTGCTAACATCTGAACCACACACCACCACACGCTCCACTGGTTGTTTCCAAAATCACTGCATTAGTTCTCTATAAAAGTCAGGAAATAGTTGGGAGCCATGAAACAATGAAGGGTGTGAGTCGAGCCTTTATGTGTAAACAATTAGTTCTTGAATTAGAGGACTCCTATCAGTCCTTGCCTGACTGTTGCTGTTCCCTGTACCTGCCCTGTGTTTGCTCTAATGATTTCAGGTTGTGCAGTTTGTACTTTGGGATCGAGCTTTGTTAAACCCAGAATGCAGGGATCTGACTCGCCAAGGCCTGCTTTAACAGCCTACATCTCCCACCTCTCTTCCTTTTAACTCAGTACTTTCTCTGTGAACTTCTGGAAATGGAATCAGAGGGGTTTTTCCCAAAGAGTGAGAACAGAAGATTCGTAATCATGGCAGTGTGTCAGGATAAGATGTCTAATAGTACAGTACTGGATGAACAAAGAGAGGTTGCTGGGAACCATTTGACTCACGAGAGCTGTGTTCGTGTTCCCTGACGTCGTTTCCGTGGAGCTCGTGCTGTGCCAATGCTTTCACTAAAGGTATTGGGTCATCCTGGGTTCCTGAGCAGTGCAAGTGGCTCTTCACCTTGTGCTGTGTTCAGAGACCATAGGGATTTTGGGTTCTTAGCCAACCAGTCCTTTTTTTTCAGCTGTGGGAATTCTTCCTTTCTGCCGCAGTACAACAGCTATTAAATTCCACAGTTTCTGAAGTCCTTGCTGTCTCAGACATACTTTTGTTTAGTTCAAACAGAGCTACCTCAGTTTAGAGAGAGAGATCATGTTACAGACAACCCTTTAGCAGTACTGATTTTGGGAAAGCTTCTTTGAGGGTACATTTGCTGTAAAAGGTATCAAGCTCTCTGGTTCCTTTGTGCAGCTTGGAGGCCATGTTGCAAACAGTTCATAAATCCGGTCTCCAGTAAAGAGACTTCTTTGCAAATTTGTGTTTCTGAGTTTGACATTGACAACCCTATTGAATCAGTCAGGAGGTTCTTCATAGGTGCTTGTGTGCAGGTGGGAAGAGAGGGATAGAGCTGCAGAATGGGCAGCTCAGACTTGCCCAGAGTTAAGTCAGGGAACAAACTTCTACGAGGTCTCCTGTTGAGGTACCTTCCCCAGCCCTCTTCTCCCTTCCAAACTGGCATTCATGATGTAGGGAGGCTCTGAGCTGGTTTGGTTGAGGTCCCCTCGCATCGTTGAAAGATCTGTTCTGGCACTTGCATCTGTGTTTGGGGGAGTAATTGAGATTCTGTGCTCCCTCTTCATGCAATGCAAACAGCTCTCTAATTAAAAGGCAGTTGGTGTGGAGCAGCAACAGGGGAGAAGCTGCATTTACCTCTCCAATTGTTCTCATGCAGTTAATTTTCTTTCCTTTTATGCTTTGTCCTTGTGCGGATTTGTTTCCAGTCTTACATGAGGCATCAAAGAACAGCAGACAGTGTAAATTGGGCTGTTGGATTTAAGGTCATTTTTTTTTTCCAGGAGGCTTTAAGGTTTTTTAGGCTCCCACTAGATCCCACCCCTGGCTTCCCTTGGGCAGTGGAGCAACAAGAAATAACCACCTTCCTCCTGTAAGGCAAACTAATGAGACCACTTCAAAATCTTACCCAAACGTGGTCCTTTCTGTGGATGCAAAATCCACCCACTGCTGCCTCTGTTGAATTCCAAAGTGTGGGTGTGCTGGATCAGATCCCTTCTTTGCAATCTCACTCCAGCTCTGTCAATGGCCTCTCTAATCCTGCAGGCACAGTTTCTGTGTGACAAGAGGCTGACAGTGTAAATCTAAGATTGTCACAGGAGCAAAGATGCCAGGTGACTTGGGCAGTAGCACCTTGAAAAGCTTCATGGAAACCAGTGTTTTCATATGGAGGGTGGTTTTCTGTATGTATTTGCTCTGGTATTGAGAGAAGCATTTGGATTAAAAGTTCAGGAATTGTTCTGCAATTTATTACAGAGTTACACAAAGAAAGCAAACTGAGCATGAGAAGAGTGTTTATTTGTTTGTTTCTTGATCACCAGTTCAATCTGTGCTGCTGAAGGCGAAAAAGCATCCCTGTCCAATTGATTTCTGGACCATATGAACTGTATTGGTCATCATTTTCCAGATGTCAGACGTTTTCTCAAGTTTTATGATGGGATTACACTTGCTGCCCATCTTCAAAAATGAGTTAGTGGAAAGCTAAATCCCATCTTCCAAGTGTGCTCTTTCTCATCCCACAAATAGATCTTGATTTGAAGAGTTCCCTCTCATCTTTTCTCCTTTAGCACTTTCTTTCAAGAAGGCAAGGGAAATTTGCACGGGTTCCATGATCATCTCCTTGATGGAGCTAAGCCATTGATTCATCAGGGAGTTGGCACCGTGTGATACTCGAGTAGAGAGAGAGCAGTGAAGTAAAGTAGGTTACAGGCAAACATGCCCAACAAACTGGTGTCCATCCCCCACCACAGAGCACTCTGCTCATTTTGTGTAATAAGAGAAAAGAGATTAAAACAGCTGCAAAAAGAACCAGTTTCTGAAAAGGTAAATAAAATTGTTAGCTTGTTAAGCTTATTAACTCTAGCTTAGTTCATTGGGGGATTTCTTGTCAGCTTCAATAGGAAACTGAAAACAAGTACTGAATAAATTCTGTGGCGCCTTGCACATGAAAGGCTTTGAAAGCACTTCAGTAATCTGGGATATCAGCAGTGGCTCCTCTCCCTGCTGACTTGCAGCTGTTGGAGGCAAGTTGTGCTCTTGCTAAGCTTGCCGAGCCCAGCTGGGGGAATTTCACAAGTGTCCAGGGTGATATGTGCCATGTGACAGCCTGGAGCTGGGGAAGAACTTGGAATTTAAATGCCAGTCCTGATGTCAGGCTCCTAAATAAATACTGGTGGAAAGTTTTTCTTGGCCAGATTGAAGCCTCTGTCCATCCTGTCAGCTGAGTAAAATTCCTCAGTTTGTTTCCCCCATGGATTGTCATTTTTCCCTCTAACAGCAGCGGCACCAAGAGAACGCAGAAGCAGTTTAGGAATGCATCTTCCAAAGTGCTCTTGAAAGGAGGAAGATTTATTGGTAAGGAGTGGTGGCAAGCTGAGGGAAGAGGACAGGAATATTTATTCAACTATCATGGGTCTAAAGGGCTTTTGAGAGCTTGCAGGATGTTTCAGAGGAAAGGTGCACCATATGTAAGGGCTGGATTCTGGAATCATCCCTTTTTCAGGCACCGATAGCATTGAACTGTGTAGAAACACCTTCATCACAGTTGCAGGGCTCAGCCTTTGATGTGCTTGAGTCCTTTGGGAATCTCTGTAAAATATGAGAATTACACTAGTGGTGCCTTCTCTTTGACTATGTCCTTTCCAGATCCTGACTGCGTGTGCAGCTGTGAATGGAACATGGAATTGTCCACTTGTTACAGCGAGGTGTTCACTCCCAAGGGAGCAGCTCTAATGGATTTTTTTTTGAGTGAAAGCTGCAGGCAGTTCTGGATGATGCCAGGTGAATTGTGCTGGGGTTTATAGCAGGTTATTTTTTTTCCCCAGCAGGCAGCAGTGACAGGTTGTGTATAAATGGAGGGGTATCATTTATCCTCATCTGAAGGGGGTGCAAATCACCAACACAGGCAGCAGCTCACTATAAATACAACAAATTGCCAAAGCTTTGGTGCTGCTGTTAAGGACTTCCCATAGGCCCACAGCAGGGGAGGAAAGGATGGTGAAAAAGCAGTTTTTGTTTGGTTTTGGAGGCCAGGTTCTTTCCTGATTCTGCCGTAAGAGTTGTTACGGAGTACACCGTGTCCTGCTGGCTCATGCAGTCCTACAGGAGGGCTCTCACCTCCTTCCTGGAGTTCCTATTAAAACTTTATTTTGAACCCTGAGGCAGTTAAAGCACTAGGGTGTTAGGAGGAGCACCCATAGCAAGGAGGATGGTCCGTATGTGTTGGTCAGTAAGGGGCTGCACTGGTGTGAAAAGAAGCTGCACTGTTCAAGATGCAGTTTCACTTGCAGTGAAATATCAGCCTCCCTGCGCACATTCCCTTCTGTGCTCTGCACAGTGACTGGCCACAAGATCTTTCAGCATCTGGGCTTTGTCTCATCCAATTCTGCTTTTGCCTTCAGT